GATGCTGTACTTTGTCAAATGCTTTTTCTGCATCTATCAAGATGATCATATGGTTCTTGTCTTTAAGTCTATTGATGTGGTGAATAGCATTTATTAAAAAAAAAAAAAAAAAAAAAAAAAAAAAGCTTCTTACCTCCTTTTCTTCATGATAGTAGGAAAGAACTGGGAATCTTCCTTTGCTCCGGAACTTGGAACTACCAACAATTATTGGTTTGCTTGCTATCCGGGGAACATAAAGTTCTCTGGGGTAAGTTTCACAAATCTGTAAATATCAAACAAAACATAACTACTCTACTCACAATTCAAAAACCATAAGGTTAAAACTCCTTTAAAAACCTGCAATCTTATGAAATCAAAGAACAGCCATCAAACTGTAATACATTGAAAACTTGCTACTATGACACACTCTGCCCCTCTGGTACTAACATTTTCTGAATTCCTCTAAAAGGTTGCTAAGTTACCTTGTATTCTCGGTTGGCATCAGATAACTGCCAGTGTGAATTTGGCACTCCCATCCTCTTATATTCCTCAGCAAGGTCAATGAGTTGCCAACCTTGTAATCGTTCTGAATCATTTTGTTTTGGATTATAAGAGAATGCATATAGATCTTCATATTTTGCTATAGAATATGAAATACAAAAATGTTAAGATGCAATTTGTAAGACTTAATACCCTTTAAATAAAAATTATTTTTCAGTCTTTTCCTTCATTTTTTTCTTTGAAGTATTCAAAAAGATGGCAATACATGAACATAACTGAACTTAATATTTTTTTTCAACTTTTGTAATGCAAATGACTATATCTAAAGGCACACATAAATTGGAGCTAAGATTCAATTTATGTCTTTTATAAAAATTAATAACAACTATAGATTTTTTAAGTCAAATATAAAAAACACAAATAGATACTTCCTACTCATCATTTTTCCCAAATGACATGTAAAACAAAACTAATGTTGGAATGAAAAACTAGAGATGGCATGCAGACCTTGGAATTGCATTATATAGTCTTATAAAACAGTTGGACCAAAAATAACAACAGGGTTCAGGAGAGCACTTACTTCTGAACAATAAGCATGAAGTCATAGAACCACCTTTACTATAAGTTCTGGCTTACCTGGGGACAATGAATGTTACAGGTTCTATGTGCTGGGACAAATGAGTAAACATAGACTTGCTCCTAGTCACTAATCCAGGATGCTCAACTAAAACCCAGTTCAACATGTAATTGAAGTAATGTGGGGGAAGGAAGCCTCCAGATCCCTGGGGCACAGCAATGATATGATGCTTCTTTAGGGTCTATATTCCTCCCAATCTTAACACTACTAAAGTGGGATTCACACTCTCATCCCTCTCTTCTGTCTTTTCTTCCATCCCAATTTATTAAGTATTTTAGACCAACTGCTATTAGAAGACCTTGACCTTCCTTAACTTCTCATTTAGTAATACTGTCTTCAAGTAAGTCTTCTTAGTTGTGAAATACCCAATTTTAAAAATACAAAAGGTAAGGGCTGGGGATACAGCTAAATTGGTAGAGTGCTTACCTTGCATGAATAACGCCCTGGGTTCTATTCCCAGCACTACACACACACACACACACAAAAAAAAAAAAAAAAAAAAAACGTAGCCAGGCACAATAGCACACGCCTATAATCCCAGCAGCTTAGGAGGCTGAGGCAGGAGGATTGTTGAGTTCAAAACCAGCCTCAGCAACTTAACAAGGCCCTAAGCAACCCAGAGAACCTGTCTCTAAATACAATATAAAAAAGGGCTAGGGATATGGTTCCGTGGTAAAGCACCCTTGGAGTCAATTCTCATTAAAAAAAAAAAAAAAAGAAAACAAAGTTTTGGTAAAGAAAATCCTTTTTTTAAAAAAAGGGAGGGGGGGGGAGGGAGGGAGGGGAGAAAGAATCTTAATATTTATTTTTTAGTTTTCGGTGGACACAACATCTTTGTTTGTATGTGGTGCTGAGGATTGAACCCGGGCCGAACGCATGCCAGGCAAGCGTGCTACCGCTTGAGCCACATCCCCAGCCCCCCAAAACTATTTTTAAAAAATACAAAATGTGCAAATGTGCTACCTGCTATGAAGAGACTTAAAATATATATATATATATATATGGCTTCTTCAGTTTATGCTATACACGCTTTACTTTTTCCCTCACTATTACTTCCTCTTTGAATTCCACTTTTGCAACTCACACCAGTTATTTCTAGACTATTTTGAGGAGTTAGTATGCATAAGTACCCAAATGATAAAAGTAACTCAAAAGTATTAAAAAAAAAGAGAGATCCATTAAATTATCTTGGCTAAACCCATATTATGATTTGAATATAAGGTGTCCAAAAAGGCTCTTATGTTAATGCAGAAATGTTCAGAGGTGAAATGATTAGATTACAAATGCTATGACCTGATTAGTGGATTAATCCATTTAATGGATTAATTTGAAAGGACTACTTTTACTGGGTGATAACTGTTTGGCAGATGGGGTGTGGCTAGAAGAAGTAGTTCCCTGGGGACATGCCCTTGGGGATTATACTTAGTCCCCCTGGCTTCTCCTTTACTCTTTCTCTGATTTCCAGCCACCATGAGCCGTGCCATTCTGCCATGATGCTCTGCCTCACCTCCAGAGTCAGCCAACCATAAATTGATTCTCTAAAATAAACTTTTTCTCCTCTATGTTGTTTTGGTCAGGTATTTTTGTCACAATGATGAAAAGCTGACTAACACAACCTATCTCAAATTGAGCATGTAAGCTTTGGTCTCTAAGAACAATACCTTGTTTTGATAGTTGTAGCAAAGAGTTATAAATATCATGGCAATCTCTTTCTCTGGGAACAATAAAATGCACGATCCTGAAGTTCTTGCACTGAATCACAAGTGGGCATCCAGAAGTAGTCAAGGCAAGTTTCTCTACTGAGGCAATATGGTGGTGTAATATCTATGGCATGAAAAAAGATTCAATTCATCAATACAGGAAACACTAAGTACTTATTCTCTTCCATAAATGTTAGGAATGTCCTTCTCAAATAAAATATCAAATATGCTACATATCAAACAAAATTTTTAAATGACTGAATACCCAAGTCAGGAATATATGTGTCTTCCTGATACCTTCTCATCTATCATAATAAATGTTTACTGAGTGAATGAATATAAAGACCCACTATAAACTCAATACTTGATGGCATTTTGAACATATGATCATCATTCTCACCTACAAACAATATTTTGTTTGCTACTAAAAAGTCTTTTTCTCAATATCATTTCTATTAACTTAAAATATTTATAGAAAATCCTTCTGAAGAACAAAAGTCTTAAGTTCCAAAATTCAACTATGTCAAGAGATCAATTTATCCAAAATTATCAATTTATCCCAAAAAATTCCACCGTTTTTATGTGTGTATTACAAGGTAAAGGACAAAAAAAATTATTTATATGTTTATTTACTAATTATTTATTAAATCTAAAGTTGACATGTAAGATTAAATGAATATAAGTAATCAAAAAAAGCCTAAGTATAAAAATTAAAACTACATATAGTAAGGATTATTAATATATGTAGCCCATACTTGTAGCTAAGATTAAGCACATTAACATTTATATTATTATACGTTACTTGAAATGATCTAATAATAACAGAATCTAAACAGAAAATAAAGGAAAATAAACTTAATATCATACCACTATTATGACTGCCTAGTTACATAACTAGGCTCTACCTAGTTATGTAACTTTGAAAAAAATCATCATCTGTAAACTGATAACAAGGAAAAAAGGCTGATAAGACTCCTTCTAGAATTAAAATAATCATTTACATGAATATAGCATACTAACATACTTCACTTCAGAGAAACAGCATTTTTAAGACAATAGTAGAAAGAAAGAAAACAACAATCTTTTTGCTGCCCCCTAAACTACATTCCCAACATCTGAAGAAACAGCTGCAGGAACAACGTATCAATACTGTGTAGGAATTACTTATCCATATTTCATTTATTTCTCTAGGAGATGGAGTACATATACAGAAGATATTGAGACGGGTGAATAAAGAGGAGGTAGAGTGGATAATATAAGAAATGATTTTACAAGGCTCTGTGAGGCAAAATTCCTGGCAGTTCTTGTTCAAGTAACAGGTAGGGAAGGGATCCAGTGCTTCTAGGGAATATAACTTCTCTGGGGTAAGCACCTTAACTTGATACAATCATATGTCAACTGGATGGCCTTCCTGGGAATATAAAGAATATATATAGAGAGAAGCCAACATGTGCTATAAGGGATGCACCCCAGGGCAACATGGTGCCCTGCACTGGGAGACAAAATCAGCCTCTAATCTTGATGCTATTGCTTAAAAATATAAGAAAAGCAGCTACAATTTCCTGAGGCCCTTCTATGCTTTAGGCCAGAAGCTTTTCCTGTTTTCTCTCATACAAGATTCACAAAGCCCTACATGATATCTGGTAGTATATCTATTTTATGGGGGTACTAAACTTGAAGTCACATTTTGGCAGATACTATGGGTCTGTCATTCCTCTCAACCAACCTTCCTTACTGGCAATACCCATCTTCCTCAGGAGATTAAAAATGCCAGAAATCTGTGTTCTCTACCTTCTATGCAAGCAGCACTCTCTAAGTGTTCCAATTTTCTAACAATTTGTTAGGAAAAGTCAGCAGGGGAGCATGGGGGAGGGAGGGCAGGAGGGGAAGCCCAGATAAAGAGAGGGGAAGGTACTGAGGAGTCTTCCTTCTGCTTTGAAAGGTTTGGTGCCACTTCAGCCTTGCAGTCACGGACTTAAATAGAAAGCCCCCTGATATACTAACCCAAGCAGTAAGCAATACAATTGAGATTTGAACCCAAAGTTCCCTGACTGCATTGCCTAAGTTCCATTTACAATTTTGAGTTGCCTATGTGACACTGAACAAATCACTGCTTCCCTGAGATTCTTCATTTATAAAATCGAGAGTTTAAAATCTGGCATAGCCATTGTGGCACAGAAACATACCCAAGTCTCTCCCTGTGAAGCACACAGACACAAAACCACACCTTATTTCTCTTTCTTATGTCTTGTTTAGTACTACTTATCACTATACATAGTACTTATTTATCCTATTTATTATTTGTTTCTCCCAATTAGAAAGTGAGCTCTTTCAGGACAGAATTTATATCTGTTATTACTGGCTATTCTTTCCATAATACCTAGAATAGTGATATAAAAACATATAGTAAGTGTTTAATAAATGTGTGCTAAATGAGTGAATAAATAAAGGGAAGAACAAAACAGTCATAACAAACATGGAGAATAAGTTGAGAAGATGTGCTTTACTACATCTCAAAACTTATTATTAAGAAGCAAGTCAACAAACCAGTACGGTACTAGTATAGTTGTAGTCAATATGCCAAAAAAAAATAGAAGAGAACAAACCTTCACATATGCAGAAGCTTTATTTATGACTGTTTACTTTAAAGACCAAGGGAAGGAAATGGTCAATAAATGATGTCAGTTGTTCATATGAAGAAATGAAAATCCCTATGTCATACCATAAATCAAAATATTTCCCAGATGTACTACAACTTGTATGTAAAGTTTTTAGAAGAATTTAAGGCTGGGGTTGTGGCCTAGAGGTAGAGTACTTGCCTAGCACGTATATGAGGCACTGGGTTCGATTCTCAGCACCACATATGAATAAAATAAAGGTCCATCAACAATTAAAAAAAATTTTAAAAAAAGCTTTTAGAAGAAATTATCAAAGAATCTTTACAACCATTTAAAAAATGGAAAACCTGTAACATTACAAATTGAAACTTTAATTCAAAGACATACACAAAAAAACACATAAAAGACAAGCCACACACTGGGAGAAGCTAAGGATGATGATTCATGTATCTGACAAAGCATTAAAATCCAGGACTCCTTTAAAATAAAAGACAAACAATCCAAGAGAAAAAAAGAAAACCCAATGACCAAAATATTTGAAAAGATAACTTTTTCCAATCAGCAATTTAACATCACAATGGCATAACGAACAGGACAGGCAAAAATCTTTGAGTTGACAATATCAAATGTAGGATGCAGAAAATGTGTAACACTATACTGAGAATATAAATTGGAACAGCCATATTGAAGAGGTGTCATTCTTAAATATGTGCTTATCCAAGATCCAGCAATGTTACTCCCAGGCAAATACCCCAAGGAAACTCTGGCACATATAAAAGGAAGAAATGCACACAAGATGTTTGTACAGTTGACCCTTCAATAACACAGAAGTTGGGGGCACTGACACCCCCTTACTAGTCAAAAGCCCATAATTAACTTTTGACTCCCCCCAAACTTTGCTAATAGCCTGCTGCTGACCAGAGCCCTACATACAACATAAAATGTTGACTAATACCTATTTATATATTATACATTATATACAGTAAAAACAAGAGAACCATGAGAATCAATAATACAATGCAATTTCCTAGAAAGAAACCACAACTGTTTATGATCAGTGTCCCAGAGTTTAAAGTGGATAGTAACTACACTTGAGCAACAGGGGGTAGCTATGAAATTACTACAGTATTACGGTATACACTACCTTAATTTCATACAGTTATGATTTAATACTGAATCTTTATATTTTTCTTGAATGTAAGTGGTACCATGTATAAATACCTATAAGTGTTTGCAGTGTAAGTTTTGATAAATGTTAACTTTTTGTAACAGAACTTGTGTAATTTTTTTTTTTAAGAGAGAGAGACAGAGAATTTTTAAATATTTATTTTTTAGTTTTCGGTGGACACAACATCTTTATTTTTACATGGTGCTGAGGATTGAACCCAGCGACCCAAGCATGCCAGGGAAGCGTGCTACGGCTTGAGCCACATTCCCAGCCCCATTGTGTAATTATTTTTTTTCCTTGGGAATTGAATTCAGGGCCACTCTACCACTGAGCAACATCCCCAGCCCTTTTTTAATATTTGTTTTCAGTCAGAGTTGGGCTAAGTAGCCAAAGCTGGCCTTGAATTTGCAATCCACCTACCTCAGCCTCTAAGATTATAGGTGTGTGCCACTGTGCCTGAAGAATTTGTGTATATTTTGTAGTAGTAAATGACAGACTATTATCTACATATATTTTATGCATCCATGACATATCTAATTTTTCTTAATTTTTATTCTACATAGTTTGAATGTTTTCTCAGACTGTTGCAAAAGGAAGAATAGGCATAGGAATGGACCTGCAAAGTTTAAACCCAACATGTTGTTCAAGGGTCAACTGCACATTATATGCATATACACATTTTCAAGTATATATTTTTTGAAAGTATACCTGCTACATATAAACATATACTTGAAAACGTACATACTTATATAAATATATGTATACTACAATATTTATACTAACAAAACAAAATTAAATACCCTAATTGTAATATGGTATAAAAATATTGTGAAATATACCAAATAATTCATTTGATCTGTTAACATATACATACATTATTTAGATTTTTTAAAATTAAAAGGAACAAATAGATATTTTAAAATTATTTAGGGAGGTAGAGAGTTTGGTATTCTACAGATATAATAGATACATGATATCTATATACCAGATATAGATGGGAGCATAGGATGAAAACACCAAAATTCCAGGTTAAGTAACCAATAATTAAAAATTATATGTATTCAAAACAACACAGTAATAGCCATAGTTCATGGTTCTGCTGTGGTCCTTCTTACCCAGGTTTCTTTTTGATGAGAGTCTATAAATAATAGATGTGTGGCTGTAAGATAGAGTGTTCCTGTTAATGACTTGTTGCCGGTACTGAATCGATCAAGCAATTTTACTTGTTCAACCTGAAAAAAGAAAAGGATGTTATTTTCACTTCAAAAAGTAGTATAGGGGCTGGGGATGTGGCTCAGTAGTACAGCACCTGCCTCAGCACCACATAAAAATAAATAAATAAACAAAATAAAGGTATTGTGTCCATCTACAACTAAAAAATATATATTTAAAAAAGTAGTATAAATAATTTTTTTTTGTTCCAGGGACTAACAAGCATCATTTTCAATTGGTTCCTCCTTCTGTCCAAAAACCAAGAGTTCATTTAATATTAAGTTTCATCAATGTTAAATTTCATCAATCTTTTGGAGGAAAACACATACACCACAAACCACATTAAGTATTATCTGGTTGCAAATGTAACCAACAGGGAATAGGTTGTAAAAAAACATTAACATTTATATTGAGAGGAACAAGAAAAAGGAGTGCAGTATAAATATGCAAGAATATTTTTCATAATCGAGGGTCCATTTTTATCTGAAATAGAAAAAAATCAATCAGGTATATATAATCAAGTATATAAAATATTATATCTAGAATTCTAGAAGTAAACTCATAGGGAAATTAAATCAGGAAACAATTAAATGTTTACAAACTCTAGCTTAGTCTCTCTGTTCCCCCCATACCAGAACAATGGTGGTTTTGTGTCCAGCTCTTAGTTTTTTACTCACACTGTGTCCTTTCCTATATGGGTCTCCTCTCTTAGCTGAGTACTAAGCATTATTCAAGGTTCACTGATACTGATGCTCTGCCTCCTAACAAGAGTTCTCCTTAAAAAACTAATGTGTTACTGATGTCTTAGCTTTTCTTTTTTATAGCTCTGAATTCCCTTGCACAGATTATGTCCTGTGCTGTGTCAGCCTCCTGTACTACCTAAGACAGTCAGGTACACAGTATGACACTATGTCTTAAGTACACACACACAATTGTCACCATAGGAGAAAGTGGGATTAAGATTAATTAGGAATTCTGCAGGAGACTACTGCTGCTTTGAAATTTAAAGTTATCCACCCTTATGGGGAAAAAAGTGAAATAATCATTCAACTTAAAAACTTCAATCTATAGCTAAAGCAGTAGGTTATAGATATTCCTTTAAATTGTGTAGATATTCAAAACCAGACAGTTAATCATTATCAAATGAAATTATTTATTTCCAAGGTAATCAATAACCAGCACGTAAAAGGCTAATTAGCTTCAGCCTTTCTTCCAGAATTTTGTTTCCATGGAAAGCCTGCTTATAATAGCATTTGTCCAATAAGTTAAAATTTAAACTTGAAGATTATTAAATTTGTTTTTGATGCAAAATTTTATTTACACAGTTAAGGTAATAAATTCAGTTTGAATATTCTCCTCTGAAAACTTAGATATATGATCTAATTTATAAAACTCAGGTCTGACAGTTGATTTGATATACAAAAACTGTCGACCTGATTTGATATACAAAAACTGTCTAATTATTATACACTGATATTTAGGAAAACAGAAAGATCTGTCAAGTCCTGGGTTCAATTCCCAGAAATGCAAAAAAAAAAAAAAAAAAAAAAAAAAAAGGGCTGGGGTCGTGGCTTAGTGGTAGTGAGCTTGCCTTGCATGTGTGAGGCACTGGGTTCAATTCTCAGTACCACATATAAATAAATGAATAAAATAAAGGTCCATCAACACCTAAACATATATACATATTTTAATACAAAATTAAATTTAAAAAATTTTTTAAATAAAACAAATTTTTAAAAACCAAAAAAAAGGAAGGCTTCCTACTAACCTGAATAAAGATTTCTTCTCTTCGAGGTTAAGACTTATTTCATTGTTTAGGGACCATTTCTCCATAAAGTAAATATCTAACATCACTATGTCATACATTGTGAATCAAAACTTAAACATCTTTTAACACAAATGGGATCAACAATTATATGTTCTTCTCCAACTGTGCTAGACTTGGCTGGAAAGGGCACTTAGGCAAACAATAGCAATTATAATTCCACAACATAACTCTCAACCTTATTTCCTTAAGCTAAAAAAAAAAAGTGTTATGGGCTATATAAAGGGAAATTATGAACAAACATGAAAATAACAGTTATCATAAAGTATTGACACTACTCAAACTAACAATGTGTGCCAAACATTTTTTAGCACTTCAAATAGGTACCCAACTTAGACAAAATAAAAAAGTATATTGGAGGGCTAGGGTTGTGGCTCAGTAGTAGAGTGCTTGTCTTGTGTGTGAGACACTAGGTTCAATTCTCAGCACCACATATAAATAAATGAATAAAATAAAGGTCCATCAACAACTAAAAAAATTTTTTAAAAGTATATTGGCAACTAGTTTTAAAAGGGAGTTTACTAAAAATAAATAAATTTAAAAGAAAGTTTATTAATGAAACGAGAAAGTTTACTTTAAAAAGAAATACATGTCAGACTGGGGCTGAGGCTCAGAGGCAGAGCATTTGCTTAGATGCGTGAGGCACTAGGTTTGATCCTCAGCACCAAATAAAGTAATATAAAGACATGTGTCCACCTATAACTAAAAAGTAAATATTGAAAAACCAAAAAAAGAAGTACATGTGAACCGGGCGCAGTGGTGCTTACATGTAATCCCAGTGACTAGAGAGGCTGAGGCAAGAGGATTCCAAGTTCAAAGCCAGCCTTGGCAATTTAGCAAGGCTCTAAGCAACTTGGTGAGACCCTGTCTCAAAATTAAAAAAAAAAAAAAAAATTAAAAAGGGGCTGAGGATGTGGCTCAGTGGTTGAGCAAACCTGGGTTCAAATCCTGGTTAAAAAAAAAAAAAATCTATGTGAAGTTTTTCGGTTTTGGATTTTTAAAAGATAATAACATTTCTCCAATCAGAAGCCTAAAATGGAAGACAATCATACTTCTTTTCATGGATTTTTTTAACCCTCCCTGTCCATCCCCTATTTATTACTATTTTCCCTCAGTGATCATTCTCCATAATGTCACTGACATTATTTTAGCCATCTGTTAATGACTCCCCAAACTATATGTCAACTGATCTCTCCTGAGTTTACACTGTCTCCCTACGCATATAATAGCAATTCCTGACATTATTGAGAGCTTATTATGTGCCCAGAATCCTAATAGGAATTTAATGTACATTATTTCTTTTCTTTTTCACAAATTCTATGTGGTGGGTACAATCAGTAGTCCCATTCAGCTAGTAGAAGCTAGGAACTGGGATAGCAATTACAACCTTGTGTTGTCTAATTCCTGAGCTGGACCGCCTTCCCTGGGGCTATACTGCCTCCACTTGGATGTCTCAAGAATAATATTAAACACACTAAAAACAGAACTGATTTCCCCTCTCACCCCTCAAAAATATGATCCTAATTATGTATTTGGGTGTAAGTTATGTTATTTTATCCTTATCAAGTCACCCACACTGGAAATCTGGAAAGCATCCTGAATTCTTGACTCATGATATTCACTAATTCCTACCAATTTCATCACCTAAATACTTCAAAATCAGCTCCTTCCACTACTATTAAAATAAGTGCTAAGTTAGAATGAAAGCATCTGTTCATAGGTCTGTCCTTCCCACTAAAAACCGTAATATATTACAGGGTGAGGACTGAMTCTTTCTTATTTCTAAATATCTCTTAATGGCTAGAATAGTGTTTGACATAGTAAGTGTTGAACCAAGATGAACTGCCTCAGAGGAAATATTTCCCAAAGGGAAAAAAAATGGAAGGTACCCACAATTCAAGTGGTGCCCTTTGTCGAAGCCATTCATGGTATTCATTAAATAGGATTTTTCTTTATCCCACTGTACATTCCTTATTTCTCTCAGCTGCCATTTCCCTCCCTATAAAGTGGGTAAACAGCGGGTATTAATTCATGAATAAATGAACAAAAAAATGTTTAAAAAGTAAAAAAAAACTATTAGTAGAACACAGTTATTATTCAGCTTGCTTCATCTGCATAGTTATTTATTTTGGCAATACATGTTTGGGCTGTCAGTTCTATTCCTACCCTATCACCCAATCAGGGAAAAATCACTCTTCCTTTGAAATTGTATAGTATAATTGTATAGTACAGAGTTCTTTTCTACTGGATCTTTATCAAGATGGAAAATTCAGACAGAAAATATTATTTCCAACAAYAACCCTATTTCCTGATTCCCCCTAGTTTTACATTAAATATTATCTGAAATCCCCTTTGTTAATTTTGATCCATTGTATTCAAGAATCAAACCTCATCTGAATCATCTCCAAAACTTGGCAGAAGTACAAATTCCAAGCCTCACTTGAACTCCGTTCAGTCATCTGAGGAAACAGAGATAAAGACTCTGTATTTAAAAAGTTCACTTGCTCATTCTTTTTTCACAATACTGAGGATTGAACTAAGGGTCACTTGTCACTGAGCTACACTGCAACCTATTTATTTATTTATGAAAAGGTCTTACTAAGCTGCTGAGGCTGGTTTCAAACTTGCAATCCTCCTGCCTCAGCCTTCCAAGTAGCTGGGATTATAGGCATGCATCACTGTGCTCAGCTCTCATTCTTACAGAACTGATTTTTTTTTTACATTTTTTAAAATTTTTTATTTGTAGTTGGACACAATACCTTTATTTATTTATTTTTATGTGGTGCTGAGGATCAAACTCAGGGTCTTGCAGTTGTTAGGTGTGTGCTCTACTGCTGAGCCACAACGCCAGCCCCAGAACTGATTCTCCTTTAATTCCAAATTAATCCCTCATGCTCTGAACTCACATGAGCTATCTTCTCTCTCTAGGTTCTTTTTCCTAATATTTAAGGCCCTGACATGTCTAGTTCTCCCACTTTTTAAAGGAACTTAATATAACTTGAAGGCTTAAAATATACAACTGCATTACATGCACACATACACTCACAAAGTGGTGTGTGTGTGTGTGTGTGTGTGTGTGTGTGTGTGTGTAATACCAGTAAAGAAAGTTTACTAACTCACTCAATAAAAATTTACTGGCTATCAACTAAAGGACAACCTGTCCTGGATCTCATGCTCACATCTGTAAAATATGGG